TTCTGCATTTAACAAGAGGGTGTTAAGAACAGTCGGTGTTTAGGTTAGCAGAGTGCATGTCGCTAGTCCTGAAGTTTTATGGCTATGAAGCAGGACTAAATAAATCCAGAAACATAACAAATAGATTTTAGGAAAAGATAACTTACTTCGGGCCTGTCTACACTGTGAAAGTGGGTGTGATCTGGATGGTGCTTAAAAATGCCTTATCTTCAGTGCAATTGATTTTAACCCTTGGTACCCGTCCAAGGCAGAACAGAGAGCTATTTTGCATCTCAGTGAATACTCCCAAAAAGATTGCATGGCCCAGCCCTGTGCCAGAAAGATACGGGCCAGCTCTCATTCTAAGTAGAAACACAAGCAGTCAATGTCTTTTTTTTCTGTGCCGAAAAGTGCTATCAGAGAACCATAGACCCTAACTATAGGCCAGGGTGGACAGGTTCTTTTACTGCTAGAGTAAATATGTTTAGGGATAGTGCAGGAGGAAATAACCCTATACTTAGTTATAGAAATCTCTAATTCTGGCTTGTTTCTACAGGTAGGAAATGATGGGAGAAAAATCCCATGGGTTTCCTCTGTCTGGCAAATGAGAAAAACTCTCCTGGCTTTCAAAAAAGGAGGAAGTAAACTCTGGAGTGTAGCAGTCTTCGTTATCAACAAATGCATAGCTACTTTAAAAAGGTAAGAGGAGACAAGTTGCCGTATGCCACCAAGCTAAATCTTTCCCCTCCAACCCCCCATGGTTCAGGTTACTTGTATTGATGCTTTAGCTTCCAACAAGCATCCTCTGAACCAGAGTATAAACATTGGGGAGATTGCCATTTGTACATTACGGAGATTCAGAATCTTGTTTGGGTTCCCCCCCCCATCTGTTTCTGGGGGTGGGACTCCTGAGGGCAGCTGGATCTTTTGTCACTCCTGCTGCAAACACCCAAAGAGAACCCATCGCTCTCCAGGAAATCTGTCAGTTGTTTCTCTTGGGAACAGTGCGGATCAGGTCACTTATCATGCCTTGTAAAATCTCAGAACAGCAGAGCTGGAAGGGACCCTGAATTCAGCCCGTCAACGGGACCCAGTGGGGAATTGAACTTCCGACCTTAAACCACTGAGCTATCCGGCAGTTCCTTATTTCACCTTATAGTTAAGAGCAATGGCTTTGCATTCATAAAGCTCAGGTTCAATATGTAGCACTTCCCGTTTGATTGAAGCAGGAGAATGCACTTGACAGTGCAAATGATGATGCTGTGTTGCGTGCAAACTGATCTCCCACTTCTTTTCACATTTATTTTGCCTTGAACTTTGTAAGAGCCATGCTTTCCACTTCTCATTCGTGGCTTTAGCACTTCCTCATTCATCACCTTCTCAAGTCAGGAAAGTCTTTAGCATCCTGTCATCAATTCACATATCAAACACGTCTGTCTTTTTTTTAATTATTTGATGTTAAAATGCGTAGTTTTGCAGAACTTGAGGTGGAATGGCATTGAACAGGCTAGATGGAGTTCCAGTGTAGCCCTGCCCTGCAGCCTAGTGGACATCGTCCATAAGTAATCTAGACTTAGGAATGGAATACTTTGGGAGGCAAGGTTGACTTTCTCCGTCTCGTTTACTCCCAGGCCAGAAAAGAGTCTGGGCTCTTGTGCGTTTACTCCAGCCTCCTGTTGCTCCCTTCTCTAACCAGCAGCTCCACTGAGGCCAGGAACCATCTCCTATGAAGCTCTGTACAGTGGTGCCTCACTAGACATTTACCCCGCATGACAGTTTTTCGCTAGGCACTGACTTTTTGCGATCGCTATAGCGATTCGCAAAACAGTGATTCCTATGGGGGAATGTCGCTGGACAATGTTTGGTCCCTGCTTCGCAAACCAATTTTTGCTAGACAACGATTTTGACAGCTTCCTACGTCCTCGCAAAATGGGTGTTTTCAGGACCTAAGCTTCGCAAGGCAGCTATTTAAACAGCTGATCAGCGGTTCGCAAAGCGGCTTTCCTATGGCCAGTCTTCGCTAGACAACGATGATTCTTCCCCATTGGAATGCATTAAACAGGTTTCAATGCATTCCAATGGGGAAATGCTTTTTTGCTAGACGATGATTTCACTAAACAGCGATTTCAGTGGATTATCATCATCTAGCGAGGCACCACTCTACTACTTGGGCCCAGACTACCTAAAGAATTGGATCTCCCCATATGAGCCTCCCCTGCATTTAAGATCATCAGAGGAGGCCCTCCTCTAGGTCACATTGACAGTGCAGGCACAGCTGATGGGAACACAAAACGGGGCCTTCTCTGTGGCAGCTCCCATGTCATGGAATGTTCTCCCTCGGGAGATCAGGATGGCCCCCTTCCTTTTATCCTTCCACCGACAGCTGAAGATCCATCTTTCCAGGCAGGCTTTTAATAATTATGACTGTCTCTGATTGCCTTTTAAAAATTAAGATAGTTTTAAATTGTTTTCTTGCTTGTAATTAATTAATTATATTTTAATTAGCATTACAATGTAATTATTTTTTTAGTTTAATCTTTTTGTCTTTTTAACTCAGTTTTTTTAAAAATATTATGAGCCTCCATGGGGCCTCTTATCCAGGAGAAAGGCAGCTTATAAATAAAACAAACAAATAAGTAAATAAATAACCACCACCCATTCCAAACTTTTACTCCCAGTTTGGGCTCCAGAGCGTCTCAAACTGAGCTAGGGAAGGACCAAAGGAGGTCCTGTCCCCACTCCCCCAAAAATTCATTGCTCAGTCGTTTGCTGGAATCATTGTGGACTCCAGAAAAGAATTGGAAGCAAGCAGTGAAAAAACACATCTATGAGTGGAATGCTAATCCTTCCCTATTTGCTGGAAGAAGGCGGCTTAATTGAGATAAATCCCAGGATGCATAATGAATATGATAAGTAAACTTGATAGGGACATTCTTTTCACACTGTTTCAGTTCTGAGCAAATCAGTCATTGGGGGCGAACATTAAACTCGAAGCTTCTTTGTTAGACATCTATTGTAAGCCAAATTTGTCATAATCCAACCTTCCAACCCCCACTTTTCTATACAGTTCGGCAACAATGAAAATAAAGCTCGAGAAGCCAATTCAAGGGATTTTCCTTTTCCATTTCAAGCAGTTCAACTATCTGCAGATCAAAGGCTGGCCAAGTGCAGGTTTCCATTATCTGGAAAAAAAATTACGTTCCTTAATTATCTCACAAATGATATAGATGACACACTTCAAACAAGCGCTTTTCATGTCTACTAATTCCTAATTTTGACTGGAACAATGTAGTGTGCCCTCCTCATCCTAGGAAAAATCGCAGCGTAACAGATTGCGCTGCGCTTTGATGTGTGGTTCAACGAGGCTTTGAGACAATCCTCTGATTTTTGTTGCATGCTTTACAAGGAAAATGTGGCCTTATTGAGGAACGTTCAAGTTATATTTCACTTTAAAGGGTGGTGGTGGTGGGGAAAGTATTGGAAAGATTCTTTTGGATACTTAGCAACACTGGCTGTACACAGATACCCAGAGCCACTCCTGTGGCTGTGCAAGCAGGAAATATGGGGTAAGGTGGCCATCAGGTGTCAGCCTGAAATCTGGCAGAATCTGTTCTGGATTAAAAGAAGTATATGGACACCCACAAAGCCCCAGTGCTGGAGTACTGTGTAACTCTAGTTTTTTTCTGAACAAAGATAATTTATTGTTGAGGACTAGCTACACTCTAGGTTCAAATGGTGACCTGAAAGGGTTTCTCTTAACCATGGTTAGTATGCTCTAGATGCAACCATTACAGTTAAATCCAGAAAGAATAAGGGAAAAAGGCTGTGTGGTCCCCAGGATTACAAAAATGCAAGAGTGGGCGCTACCTTTCATTGGACCACTAAAAATCAAACGAATTGCAAGGTCTCCTGGAGAAAAGTCTTACTTCTTAAGGCTTAGCACAATCCTTTTAAGGACAGTGCCGTTTCTGTACACAACAGCCCAAAAACAGGCATCATATGCCTGGGAGAGGTGATGTCAGTCCCCTGAGGCTGTGATCAGTTAGATATTTTTCTTTACTTACCCGACGTTCCTGCTTGCAAGTTGACACGCGGGCCAACACAGCTGCTCGAAAGAGATCTTCTCATGAAAAGCTAGTTAAAAGGAGCTCACACTTAGGATTTTAATTGAGGCTAAGAAAGCAAACCCTTGTAAGCACTAGCTGCAGGATGCTCTGAACTGAGGCAATGAGGGGCAGAGTTTCACTTAAACGATTAGTGGCAATTACACCACAGAGGACTTAGGGCAGTGATGGCGAACCTATGGCACGCGTGCCACAGCCGGCATGCGGAGCTTTTTCTGCTGGCACGTGAGCCGTAAGTTGCCAGATCGCTACTCCCCCCCCCCGAACAGCCGTACCTGAGAAGGTGGCTGCAGCCACGGTGCTGGCACTTCGGCAGGTGGATCTGGAGCAGCTGGTGCTGGCAGCGGATCCAGAGTGGAGTCTCGAGGCACCTCCGTGCCTGGATTCCCCCTTCCGCTGCCATGTCTGGTTCCGCCGCCACCGGCGTGGCATGCCACCTACTTTTTTTTTTAACCAGTTTGGGCATGCGAGCCCAAAAAAGGTTTGCCATCACTGATCTAGGGCATGGGAACCCTCTGTGTTTCAAGCCTTCTGTGTTGCACAGAACGGTGCTGCAATTACCACTGAATTTCAGCCGCAATTGTGGCAGGGATGGTGGAAACCATAAGCAGAGGTGGCCAAAAAAGGGATGGTGGGCCAATGTGCCCCCTCCCCAGCTGTCACCCACTCTACTCTAAGATGATGCCTGCACCATCTGACAAGCCAAGAGTATTTGCTCTTGGCTTGACAGATGCTTTTCTTTTGAACTGTGACGATGGATGGAGAAGTGTACGATTCACTGATCAAGATTCCTTTCTCCAATAAAAGTATTAATCCTTTTCCAAAAGTCAATACTGTTTACAAGCCACAGTAATCTGGGGGGCACTTAAAGCACAACAGAAAGCTAGTTTATCTGCAAGAAAATGTTTATTTTTTAATTTTTTTTGTAAACCCCACAGAAAAAAGAAGAATGCAGCCAAGACCAAGTATTTCAACATAAGTAGTGCCTGAAAGGCAGCAAAAAAATAAAAATAAAAAATAAAAAATGGGGGAACCTCAACACAAAAAAAAGTCAGTGACAATAATCCATGTTTTGCACAAAGATGAGAACCTATGACATTTCTGAGTAACACTTTCATGGTGACAATTACACAAGATGATTCAAAAATCCAAATGACGGCAACATGCACACCTGGCTAAAGCTAGAAGGATTTTTTTTAATTCTCAAAAGAATTTCTGATTAAAAATGATGGATCTTTAATATGCCTATATTTATTGACTTGCTTGTCCTACTTAATTTTTTTTAAACAAGGCTTACTTGCCAATTTATATGAAACTTTAAAAAGTGTTCTTGTTTTCAAAGAAGAATCTTGCCCTCCCAGAGTCTACTGCATGTTTGCAAAAATCAAAATGGTTTTCGTTTGTAATTTTGCTAGTTACTAATACAATTTTGGATCCCTGCCCCACTGCCCCTTCCCGCCCGCACCCCAACCTTAAACACTTCCAAATGTTGCCGGTGCAACATACTTTCCTACCAATGCAGAATATACATTTAAACGTAAATCTTGTGCAATTTCACGAGTTTCTTCTAAAAACTCTTCTAAAAAACTCCTTGGCACAATGGCTGAGATTTAGTCAGCCTGACTGAAAATAAATTGTCGAACACAAGATGATGCTAAAGCGTAATTGCAGTTGACTAAAAAACAAAACGAAAACCAGCCCTCCAAACTGCCGCTTTATGAGCCAGCTTGACAGTTTCTTGTACACAGTACCTTGCACAAATATTCCACAATTCTGCCTTCACCAAAACACTCCCTCTGTTATTACTGAGCCCTCTACAGAGTATTTTTCTCTAGTGAACACTGTTGGATTTTGTACTCCAAACAAACAGACAAATACAAAGATATGTAAGCTCGGATTGCAATGGGCATCTAAATTATCTCTTTTAAGATCTGCAGTAGACTCTGTAAAATGAGTTCAATGTTAGAAGCTGGATGACAGCAAAAGGGGGGAGAAAATTCTTTTTAAGAACAAGTTTCCTCTTGAAACGCCTCCTTTTTCTCAAAGGCACTATTGAACAAGACTGCTGGCAGTTCTCGAGTGAACCAACTCCCTGACGGGAATCCAACATTTCACATAACCGCTAAGGCTATGTTACTGTCTACCCATTTCTGCATTACTTCTGTCTTCCCTTAAACACGTACCCTCTTAATATATGTTTGGTCCTTAGAGGGGAAAACAATTTGATTTTTTGCACATCTTTCTCCTTCATTATCCTGATACATGGCAATATACTGACATTATCAAAGCTTTGCTTGACTTCAAACCCTTTCACTCTTAAAAAAAAAGTAACCCACAGAATTTCTATTATTCTTCCTCTTTGAAATTTTTAATTTGCCACTTTGGCTTCATTATATTTTTAGAAAGAAAAGGTTTGTAATCAAGCAGAGCTCCTTGATATTTTAATTTTTTTTTTCAAGAGGAAACCTTGCAAGAGTATACACATTTTAAAAAAAGAAGAAGAAGAGAGGCAGAACTTGCGATGTGCAAACCAAGATTTGTGGGTTCTTCTTCCCTTAAATGCATTGGCCAAGAAAAAAACTGTAAAGTTCTGTGAGGTTTTCTAAAAATTTACAAGAAAAAACTGATGGGCAGTTCTAGCCAAACTGTGGTGTTGGGGTTCTTTCCCCCCCAACCCTGCTTCTTTCTTTTTATTTTTCTTAAACAATAAATCAGTACAGTCTCACACAATACAAATTTTCATCTTGACTGCAAGAGATTTTTCTGTGTGATGCCTTCCATCAGACAAACTGGACATTGGCATTTACTTCTTCAGGGGTTGATAAACTGAGGCATTGGGATCAAGTCCGGAAGGGCTGGTTTCTACAAATTTGGAAGAGTAATGTGGGGAAACGGGACTCAGGGTGCTGGCGGCCGCAGTGTACGTTATGCTGGGCATTACTGCCATCACTTCTGCTATCTTCTGTTTTAGGTCCTTGATTTCCTGATCCTTCTGAATTATCTGCCCTGCAAAGTTAAACAGAAACAAATAAACAACACCATCTTCTACCAACAACCTACCATCAGTCAAGCTTATGACAAAAAAAATTTACCATGACGAAATCTAAGGCAATGGAAATGGCAAAGGAAATCAATGCAAAACAGCAAATAACTAAATATAGTAGTACAGGAATGCATGCTATCCGTCAGAAAAGAGAACATAGTTCTTTCATTAACTCTGAGCACCCTCTCCTGGCTGAAGCAGCCATTTACAGTTACCAACTGGAATTAGTAGAAGAACTGTGTTTTGCAAAGTTTCGAAGAGGGTTGTCTTACTCCAGGGGAAGGGCTCAAAAGAGTGCAAAACTATTTGCTGTTTAGAAATGGGGGTAGTTGTATATTCGTCCTCCCTCCCCCTGCCTCGGAGTGGCTAGCCGAGCGGGAAGACAGTGGCGCTCTATGAGTGACGGCTAGCCGAGCGGGAAGAGAGTGGCGCTCTATGAGTGATTGAAAGGATAAGCGAGGCCAGACATGTGAGTGGACAATCTGGCTGTAGGGACCGGACCCTCATTAAGTCTAGCCACACAAGTAGGGACCGGACCCTCATTAAGTCTAGCCGCGCAAGGGCATTCGTATTCATGTACGAATATCTCTATCTCTATTTGCTGTAGCTACATCCATGTTGCCAAAGACAGTGCTCATCATATTATGATGCTGTGAAGCTATTTCCATAACATTTGCTGCCAAGAATGAACTCAGTAGTCAAAACCAGACTAGCAAAGTGACAACACGACACATACTTCTCACAATCCCTAGGGAGACAAAAGGATACGAAAGCCTGCATAAACAAAAATGTCACTGAAGGAGGAGCACAGGAAGAAATAAGAAGTTACAAAACACTGCAAAAAGGAATGAAGAAGAATAGTTTTCTTACAGTGGGTTGGCAGGCACAATCCCTAGCTCCTCCTTTCTTCCTAAGAACCAAGAATGAACCTTTGGTAGGCCTTAATTAGGACATTCTATTACCAAATTTCATTTCATGTTCATGGAAGCCCTTAAAGGTGACTGTCCTGGTTTTAGAAATATGGATATTAGCCAAGGAGTAATATGTACAAAATTGAACTATTTAAGGAGATTTCCATCTAAATAAGCTCTTTCTCCCATTTCTCCCTGCATTTTGTTTCCTAAAGAAGGTGTACCAAATGAAGAATTCCTCTGTGTCTGCGCTCTTAATTTCCTGTGCAAATTAGTAGCTTGGAATTTTACTCAAGTTCAATTTAACCATATGTTTTCTTGCACTACAAACTTAATTCTTGTGCAGGAGAGAACAATGGTTATTGCCATTGGTACGGAAGATGCTGCATACATCTCGCTGCTGTCCAGGACCAAAGCAATTACTCTCAAATCTCTGAAGTGCCAGTCTGTACTCTCTTTATCCTGTTAGCACTGAAACTACCAGAATTATTTCTTTAGCAATGAAGCAGAATTTCACCTGATTAAACAAATGAACTACTGCTACTCAAATCTGAAGCCTCTATTGAGTGGCTAATGAAACTTTGCCTGAAGCAAAATTTGGAGTGAGGGTGGGGCCTCCTCCCGTAAACAAAAACTCTGAAAAATCCAAAGCAGACACAAAAGGGTTCTCGTACAACCAGAGGTTATCTGGAGGGGGAGTCACTAAGACTGATCAAGTTGATAGGAAGTAGATGTTTCCCAAACCCTTCAAGAGGCAATATTAACCGTGTTTGCAGCAGTGAAAAGCCAGAATCCTGAGGGCTGTATGCAGAACTCCTTGTGTTCATGGTGTTTGGTTTTCCCAGCTAAAACTTCTGAAAACAGTCCCTTAGGCTCCCCGGAAAAGCTGGGCTGAAGGCTGGGGAACTCCAGCAGAGCATGATCTATCATACCACAAGGAAATGCAAACGAGCAAGCACACATAAATAAGCAGTCCTGCCCTCGATGAGCGGTGTTCACTGCTTTCCATTTGCAAATATGCACGATACCGTATGAGACACAAGAGGGCACCCTTTTATTTCCTACTGCTTTAGAGAATTTCACTTACCTTGGGCTATCTCAAGCTGTCTTTTTGCATCTCCTAATGCAGAGAACAGGTCCAATTTGATCCTTGTCTCCGCACTCAAGCTGTTCTCTAAGTGCTGTGTTTTATCCTGCATAGCTGAAAGTGCTGACATTAACACTTCTGTATCCTTTTCGTTCTCTTTGTATTTCCGTAGCTCCTTGGGGAGGGATTAAAAAGCAGAGGGAGTTACAAACTGGGTCTTTAGACAGGGAAAAACAAAATGAGTACATTTTGAGTATTACAGTGGGGTGAGGAATCCGTGGGCCAATATATAGCACACTGGAGTTTGGAAACTGGAACGTGTGTGCGTGTGTGCGTGCGCGCGTGTGTGCGTGTGCACGCGCGCGTGTGTGTGTTTATTTATTTATTTAAACCCCGAATCCGTGGGCCAATATATAGCACACTGGGTTTAAGGCCAGTTGGTTATATCCTTTGTTAGTGGAAGCCGTAGACAAAAAGAACTGCAGGTTATGATTTGCAGAACCTTAAAAAAAGGACCCAAGGTGGCTTACAACAAGTCCAGGTTGGACATACTGAGAATTCCATTTGGAACCTCTTGTCCAACGACTGACTTCTGGACATATGAATTTAATTTATACTGATCCAAAGATTACTCCATTGCACCTCGTACTGTCAACCTGGATTGGCTGTGGGTCTCCAGAAACTCAAATCACAGCCAGTCTTTACTGGACTACCCAGTAAAACACAGTACAACAGAACCTCCTTCTCCACAGAATCAGTATGAGCCAGACACCCTGCTATGAATACTTGTTAGTGAAGAATACATAGTATGGTCTCTGGGACCCTCTAGTAGCCAGTTCTGGTCATGCATGCAAAAATATTTTTTCTGGTTTTTTTCCTTTTATGCATGTGTTTGCTATTATCCACTCTTACGCATGTGTTTGCTATTATCCATGGTTTTCAGTATCCATGGCAGGCTTGGGACCAATCCCCAGTGGATATGGGGGTCCTACGGTACACCGAACTGCAATACAAAAGATGGAACTAGCGAATTCCTCCATGAATATATGCTCTTTGCCACTAAGCTGTAGCTTCCTCTACAGCAGGAAACAGATAAGGTCACTGGGACAAAACAAACACAGGTAGCGGGTTTTGGAATTAAAAATAATGCTCACTGTACTTCTGTTTGCTGGTTAATGGAAGAAGTTATCTTACTGTCTTCCTATGTAGTGGCAGTGGGATGCTTTTAAAAACATTATACTATGAACACTGGTGACCGCAACTGGTTCAGAATCGAGCTGCGCAGCTGGTGAGTGGTGGGACCGCTAGCTGCTTCTGTTCAAATTACATTGGCTACCAGTTGCTGCCTGGGCCCAATTCAAAGTGCTTGTTTTGACGTATGCCATGTCTCGTTACCTGGACTTTCATTTCTAGATCTCGTATCTGATCTTCTTTGAGCTTTATGTCAATTGTTAACTTCTTGCACTCTGTCTCCAGATCTCTGATGCGATTTCGTAAAGTTTCTGTGCATTCCCCTCTGACAAATAAAAGGAGACCAGAAAAAGAGATGCAAATTTTAGCATGTATCATAGTGAATTTCATTGAAGTGTTAACACTGCAGAATTGCAATGGGTGCCGTTTCGCTCTTTCCAAGTATCAGCTCAGTGACAGCATTAAAAGAACGGCACTCATCCAAATTAAAACAGATATCCCACATGTACTGTTGATTCACCTATTTTCCAAATAAAAATAAAGAACAAATACATGTATTTGTTCATACACACACACACATATATACACACACACACATACATATATATATACTGTATATATATACATACATATAAATATACATATATATATATATGTATGTATGTGTATATACATATATACATACATACATATACATGTGTGTGTGTATATATATATATGTGTGTGTGTGTGTGTGTGTGTATGAACAAATACATGTATTTGTTCTTTATTTTTATTTGGAAAATGGGTGAATCAACAGTACATGTGGGATATCTGTTTTAATTTGGATGAGTGCCGTTCTTTTAATGCTGTCACTGAGCTGATACTTGGAAAGAGCGAAACGGCACCCATTGCAATTCTGCAGTGTTAACACTTCAATGAAATTCACTATGATACATGCTAAAATTTGCATCTCTTTTTCTGGTCTCCTTTTATTTGTCAGCCCGCCACAGATGAAAATAGGCGGAGTGGGCCACGGACACCACCTGGGTTTCCATAGTAATCGCCGGGTCCAGATGTATTTCCAAGCTGCAAACCTCACTGTGCGGTGAGAGACACACCCCCGAAACAGGGGGAGTCTCCCAAATTGTCAATGGGGAGGCTGCCCACCCTCTAGACCTCCATCTTGTCCGGGCTTTATATGCAATTGTAAGAACTTAGAAATCAATGTGGAAACAAATGGGCAGCCAATGCAAGGCGGCCAGCATGGGGGAAATATGTTGGTACCTTTTCACCCGTGTAAGAAGTCTGGCCTCCACATTTTGTACTATCTGAAGTTTCCACGTCAGTATCAAAGGCAGCCCCACGTAGAGCGAATTACAGTAGTCTAATCTTGAGACTACGAGCGCATGGACCAAAGTGGTGAGCGCCCCCACATCAAGATAGGGATGCAGCTGGGCAATCCGCCGAAGGTGGAAATGTGCGGAACGGACCACTGACAACACCTGGCTCTCCATGGTGAGTGCTGGGTCCAGATGTACACCCAAAAAGGTCCTTAACTTTGGCCAGATAAAACATTGTGCTTTAAAAAACAACCACACCTCTATATATTTAAAGGAAAATAAAACAGTTACACATATAAAAATCATCAGCAAAAGGGCCAGCATATTCTAAGGTGGGAAAAACTCACTTATTCTGAAGCAGCTCATTTTCTTGCCGGAGCTGTCCAATTTCCGACCGGATCCCCCGCTCTGTGCTGGTCAGCGAACCGATCTGACTACGTAGCTCTTGTTCAATCTGCCTGCTTGCTTGCAGGTCAGCCTTCAACTTCTTAATGTCTTGTTCCAACCTAGGGGAAAAAAATGAGAGGAGTGAGAGAAAGGACAGCTGTTTCTTCTCACTTTATTCATTTTTGAACCAGAACAGAAAAAGATTCTTCTGTTTCCTGAATTTTCACACTTGGCTATTAGGTTTTCATCTTTTTTCTAAAGCAGGATCTTTCTGTCTTTCCCTCTTAACCCACCTCCTAAAAATCTTTTACCACATTTTATTTACATCCATTGCTATGTTATGGACAGCAATAGACTCAAGCCCTAATCAGAAATGAAGTGAGTGGGATGGGAACGTCAATTTGAACATCAAAAAGGAGGCTTGGGTGAAATCATATAAGACTTCGTCACACTCCCATTGCTGTCCCTGCTCCAATCATTTTTCTTCCTAGCCTTCCACACGTCTGGCACTGTGCTTTGGAGGGGAGGGATATTACTCACGAGACAGAAGCGGGAGAGGAACAATAGACGGGGGCAGAAGTCAACATCTCTCTCTCTAGGCATTAAAAAGCCCATGTTCCTTTCCACCTCACTTTACAGAAACACATTTTTGAAAAGAGGTTTCCCGTAGTTACATGTAATATTAGTAATAGAAATCTGTCAGCAGTATACGCGAACACATTTCTAGGCTGTTGTTTTGAGGGGTTGTGTGCGCGCTGAAGACCCCAGTGTCTAGCAATGCCATTGTACAACATCTTGATATTTTACTGTAGTAATGGGAACACAACACAGCATGAGTTCAGTATTAGAAAACTTGCACTTCACTTTCTATGCAGTGGAAAATGTACACCTATACAGTTTCATAGCCGAGGATTCTAGTAAACTGCAGCCTAAATCTTATGGGATTTTCTTTCAATGAACAGAAACTTAAGGGAAAAAACAAAATAAAAAAATACACAGAAGTGAATATTTTATCTAGCCTGTCAAGATGGCCTATTAGTGCACACTACGGCACCCACAGTCTCAATTTAAATATCAACACATTCTAAGTCCTGCAGAGTTTGAACATGACAGCATTTATTTATATTTTAATTCATATCTTACTCATCTTCTAGAGCAAGAACATAAACCAAACGCAAGGGAACCCTGTTCTTTCAGCCTTTCCCCAGAGGGCTTAGTTTCCATTCCCCTTATAATAATTTTTGCCTTCCTTTGCACTTGTTAGTTTGTCTGAATCCTTCTTAAAGTTCGGTCACCAGATACCGGAAAAGGAAAATCCAATGTACTCATGCTGCTTTGCAAAGGAGTGCCAGAAAAATTATTCTGTTTTATGGTGGTTATGTGCCATCAAGTTGCTTCTGATTTAGAGGCCCTAACAGAGTTTCAAGGACCCTAACAATTGTTTCAAGGTGACAATTGCTAATGGTTTTTACAGCTGAGCATAAATTTGAACCTAGGTTTCCCGAGTCCTAACATGATGCTTTATCCTATACTCCACGCTCACTCTCTCGTGTACAGCAAAGAGTGTATTTTATACTTCTTTCTTGTGTGCATGTGCACAACAAAACAGGCTCAGGGAGATATAGTGCAAGAGATAAACACACAGCAGTTTAGAAGGTTTAATTTTAATCTTTTCTGACCAGAGACCATCTGTCATCTCTCATATTTAGAAACAAATTGTCATTTAGCACAGTATCATCAACCCTTTGCTGAAATGCTTTGACATAAGTCTCTAAATATGAAGGAGGCTAGGCATTTTAAGCTATTTAGACTCTTGTAAAGTAAGACAACTTTACAGCATATTAACTAAATGCACCGCTACCAGGCCAGACTAATCCATGAGCATTGGTTTCTCTGTCAATAGTGAGCATCAGCCTTCAGGTGCACATTGTAGCCACATGCTCTATAAATATGCAAATATCTTCTAGAGAAAGGGCATGCTTACAGGCAAATGCAACTGGCGCACAGAACCAATACTCAGGAAAGACACTGCTAGCATATGTACATGAATCATTCAAAACTCCACATCATTGGTTTTAATGGGGATGGGTCCAGAAGACGGTCCAATTCGTTTAAGAATGCTTCATCTCCCTCCACCCCCAACGTGCAGTATTTCCACACCTATATGCTATCTTCAGCGCTCACAAGAGACAGCAATAGAGGGCTGTTTCCATCCTGTCTTGTTTGTCAGTTCCTGGAAGTACCTAATGGCTACTGCTGAAAACTGGACAGGAGGAACCCACAACAGTCCTCTCCTGACTGCTGACCGAAGACCATCCTGCAGTTGCCCAGCACTGAATCCTCTTCCGTGTGTACAGACGATCGTCTCACAATCAGCAGCACGTCTTCCTAGAATAAGCATCCTTGCCGTCAAAGAGCCCTTTGCCAGTGAACAAAGGCCACCAGCATGTATGCCAAGCATTGTAAACCCCTCCTCTTGGCTCCAAACTGTGAAACCCACATTCCTTATTTTGCTAATCTAAACAGAATAGAGGAGGGGCTGATGCTGAATCAGGCAGACCGCAGCAGCTGCACCAGCTAGTAGTAGGGCTACTTCCTTTGTCTTACTAGGGGTTTCATTGCACGAAAGATGGCTCAATAATATATATGGCCATATAATGTATATGGCCTTCCTTTGTCTTACTAGGGGTTTCATTGCCTGGCACTAAAGATGGCTCAATAATACATATGGCCATATAATGTATATGGACTTATATTTGACAGTGCTATGGAAGTCTTCTTGCCTCAATAAGTACAGTCTTTTTCCTGATTCTGAAAGAGGGGAAACTGACCTTTTTCATAGTGGATTTAGCACTTAGATTAAGCACATTATTTTGGCTGCTGTTTGGCTTATCCTGACAGTCTGTTTTGATTGTCCTGCTGTTGCTGTGATCTGGTTAGGGCTTTTTGCCTATTGGCTCCTGGTTTTATTCTTAGACTCGGACTGTTTTCTTTTAACTGTGAATTGTTTTAATTTGTTTATACTGTATGACTGAAATAGACAGTCTATAAAAACAGCAATGCAAACAAAGTTTTGCTCTGATTCAAGCGTGACAATATCAGTGCGTCAACATGGTTTGCATATGGACATTTAATTTTTCCACCTTTTCTTCTTTAAAGAGTCCGTGGTTCTCCCCTTACCCCTCCTCTTCTCCTAATGATCTGCTTATGAGTTAAACTGTGCAAGACTGGGTAACCCACACATTTTATAAATGAGAAGCCACTTGAAGCAACTATCACAACTAACCATTATAACATAGAGGCTTGGAAAGAGATTGCACTTCAGTGGAACAGACCTACTTTGGGAACGGGAAGAAAGGCAACACTAATCAGCTACACAGAGGGCACAGTGCAGCTTGAGGCAGAGGTTAAAACACAAAACAAAACACTAGTGTTTTCCCTTTTTCCTGGTGACGTACACTACGTAAGAATGGATGGGTGATCAGGAGAAACAGTACCAGGATCCACAGGCTGTCACCTTAAAGAGGGGAACCCTTTGGGTTCAAGGTAAAGGTAAAGGTTCCCCTTGACATTTAGTCCAGTCGTGTCTGACTCTAGGGCACAGTGCTCATCCCCTTTCCAAGCCATAGAGCCAGGGTTTGTCCGAAGACAGTTTCTGTGGTCACATGGCCAGCTCGACTATAGATGCGGAACGCTGTGACCTTCCCACTGAGATGGTTCCTATTTCTCTACTTGCATTTTGACATGCTTTCAAACTGCTAAGTGGGCAAGAGCTGGGACAAGCGACGGGAGCTCACTCCGTCGCGTGGATTCTATCTTACGACGGCTGGTCTTCTGACCTTGCAGCACAGAGGCTTCTGCGGTTTAACCCGCAGCACCACCACGTCCCTTATTTGGGGTTCAAGACTGTGTTTTAAGGAAGGTTTCCCTGTCATTATGAAATCATAATTAGATCATTACAGCTGCATCTAGGTTGCCTGAACAAATGAAACATGCTAAACGAATGAAGCTGTTTTCAAACCTGGGTCGCCAGATGTTGTTTGGTTTCAATCCAGAAACTGCTACTAGCACAGATAAAGCTCAGGGATTCTGAGCTATCAGCGATCCTCTGAGGACCACAAAGGAGAATCGCTGTCAGTCACATATACAGTATAAAAAACAGTCTTCCAGTCTGTAGGACAGTGTCCTTCAGCTTGGTGTTGCATGAATCCAATCCAATCACTCACAGGTGCCCAACAGATCTGTGTGGTCTACTACACTGGTTCTTAACCTTGGGTTACTCAGGAGTTACAGTCTTCCAGTCTGTAGGACAGTGTCCTCCAGCTTGCTGTTGCATGAATCCAAACCAATCACTCACAGGTGCCCAAAAGATCTGCGTGGTCTACTACATTCCTTCCCAAGCCGGGTCTGTCTCTCCAGATGCTTTGAGGTATAAGGCCCATCACCATAGCCACAGTCCATGCTGGCTGGCGTTGAGGAGAATTCTAGGCCAGAAGATCTGGAGGGAGGGGTGGGCAGCCTGGTGAGAGCTACTGAAGTACATCCATTATCCACAGCAGCAGTGTCAGAGTTGCTGCTCTGACACCAAAAATGGGCCTATTGAAAGCACAGACATCATACAAAGTGGGGCATCAGGATGGGAGTCATTTTCCTTCTCTGACCCACCAGTCTCTAAGGTTAATGCCACTGACATCTCTCAAATAGCACAGATACAGAGAAAGCAGAGCCTGAACTCTCGGCAGAACCTCATAAAATAACTAAATGGAGGATATAGTACTTTGGATATGTCACGAGAAGATGGGATGCATTAGAAAAGACAATAATGACAGGACAAGTGGAAGGCAGTAGGAAAGGAGGAAGAGCAAACATGAGATGGATTGACTCACAAAAAGCCTAGTTTACAAAATCCGAAAAAGCGGTCAGCAATATGATCTTCTGCAGTTCACTAATTCTTAGGGTTGCCAGAAGTTGGCAGCAACTTGACAGCATCTAACAACAGAAGAGAAAGCTATCTTACAGCAGCTGATCTTCTATCTAATCTGTTGTTGTTCTGTGCTGTCAAGTGGGAACCAACTTAAAGAGACCCTAATAGGGCTTTCAAGGTAAATGATATATATAA